GGCAGGTACCAGCATGGAAATTCCCTTCTGTAATAGCCAAGCATGTGGAGGCATCACTGGGGAATGTGCATGCACACAGTGCCTGATTCCACTCACCAGTGGGCCCATAGGCACAATGCAGGAATTCCATGTTGCAGCCCAGACATGCAGGGGCCAAGGGGGAATAGGCAGAGACTGACTGTATGCCACCAGTGGGACCCAGCTGGCATGTGTTGCAGGAATTCCCTGGAGAAGCCCTAAGCAGTCCAGAGAATGGACAGGGGTACTGGTGAGGAGGCACAAGGGACTAAGCTGGCATCAATAAGGGAACTACCTGGAGTGCACTACTGACCTGCTGCTGGCCCACCACCCTTCCACCATCAGTGCAGAACCCACAGTTGTCCTCCCAGTATCTCATCAAACGGGTCCCCAAAACTGTACCCCAGGACCATGGCCTGAGAGTCCCAACACCAGGAAAAACATAACACGTACTCAGTCTCCAGCTTGGAAAATGATGAGGCACATGTAGTCTACACAGAGGAATATCATACACAAAGCCAATCCTTCAAGAGTGTGAGAGGAAGCCCTTTCAACTAATTCACAGAATCAAGCACAGGAAGTCATACAAAATGGGGAGACAGAGGAATATGCTTCAAATGACAGAATAAGAAAAAAAGTAAAAAAAAAAAGACTAAATGATAAAGTTAACCAATTTACCTGATAATGCACTTAAAGCAATGGTTATAAACATACTCACTGACTTAAGAAAGCAATAGGAGAACTCAGTGCAGACCTCAACAAAGCGAAAGTCTAAAAAAGAACAAATCAGAGATTAAGAATTCAATAAATGAAATAAAAAAATACACTGGAGGGAATGAACAACAGACTAGAGGATGCAGAAAAATGGATCCGTGACTTGGAAGATAGAGTAATGGATGGCACTCAAGTTGAAAAGCAGAAGGAATAAAGACTTAAAAAGAATGAGGGTAGGGTAAGAGAGCTCTGGGACAATATAAAATGTCCTAACTTCTGCATTATAGGACTCTCAGGAGAAGGAGAGAGAAAGAAAGGAGTAAAACAATTATTTGAAGAGATAATAGCTGAAAACTTCCCTAACCTGGGGAAAGAAACAGTCTATCACATTAAGGAAGCACAAAGAGCTTCAAATAAGATGAACCCAAGGAGGTCCACACCAAGATTTTAATTGTAATTAAGATGTCAAAGATCAAAGACAAAGAGAGAATCTTAAAAACAGCAAGAGAAAGGCAATGATTGACATATAAGGGAAACCTCATAAGGTCATTAATTGATTTTTTTTGCATAAATTCTACAGGCCAGAAGGAATGGCATCATGTATTAAAAGTGCTTAGTGGGGAAAAAACACCTACCAAGAATACCCTTGCCAGCAAGGTTATCATTCAGAATCGAAGGAGAGACAAAGAGCTTCACATAAGTTTAAAGAGTTCACCACTACTAAACCAGCTTTTCAAGAAATGTTAGAGCAAGAACCATAAGAAAGGGAAAAATTTCCACTGTTAAAGCTCAGAAGGTTGCTCAGTGGGCTTATCACAAAGCTGGGGCGAAAATGAGATTTTCTATCGCATATCACTAATTACTTTAAATAAACTACCAATAAATTATCCAAAACTTGAATTAACATGAAAAGCATGATTACATATCCTTTCATGTCATACTAGAGTCCTCTGACTTGGGAAATATCTGTTGTCACAGTTAATTAGGGCCCAAATGTTTTAGGCTTCAAGAAAACCAATGAGGGACAATGAATTACTTTCTGCCCCACAGAACAGATCACACAAAGATAATGTTTTTCTTGCCCTGTGGAAGGCTGGCAGCGAGTTTCCCCTCCTGTCCTGGACACTAGCTGGTTTCAGGGAGGGGATAGCGTCCTTTGATAGCATGGGGGGAGTGCAGTCAAGATACTTGTGATGGTGGATTTGATGTGTCTGCAGGTATGAAAGACACTGACAGGCAGATATGAAAAAAACAGGTCACAGATTTGAGGCAGCCTTCTCAGATGTGAGTCCAAATTCCATGAAGAACTTGGGGTATGTTCCGCACACTCAGGGGTTCCCCTTTCCTAACCTTGGGGAGATGTCTAAGTCTGGGAGATTGCACAGTGCTATGACGCAGGCCAGGCTCATCCCAGGAGGTGTTACCTGCCCACGTGGGCATCTGCTAACATGTGCATGGTGCCAGATCCTGGCCACTGAGCACCAGAACATACCCTATCACCTCATTCCAGAAAAAGAGTCCCCATGCCAGCTCCTTCTGTACTCCCCAGAAGGCACGTGGATGCTGGGACTGGCATCCAAGATACTCTGGAAATTGAAAAACAGGACCCTACTAGGCCTCCTGCCTTGTACCACATCTTTCTCTCATGCCATGGCATGCTCCCAGTTCCCAAACCTCATGGGGATCTTATTATTCTCCCCTTCAAGCTGCACATGGGAGGGGGTTGCAGAGTAGGGCACCAGCCAATTCTCAGGGAGTCACCCAAGCCTTTCTCTCACAGGTTATTCAGAAACTCAAATGCTTAGAATTGCCATCTTGTTTAGGAACACAATTTTTAATGCATCCCAGAGATGGTCATTCTGATTATTGGGGTGCAAGCTAAAGCTCACGGCTCACTGTGAGTTATCATCGAAGGCTTCCATGGAGGGAATGAGGTCTAAGTGAGGCTTAAAGGATGTCAGAGTGAGCTGGGCCAATGGAAGAGAGAAAAGTCTTCCAAAGAGGAGATCAGAAGCAAGGGCACAAAGGAATGAAGCAGCCAGGTACATCCGGGGACCTGCACATCAAACTTTTACTGGAGCTAAAAGCAAAATGTCAACAGTGGTGGGAAATGACGGGAGAGGTTCACAGATGGATTCCTGAGTGAACCATTAAGCTAAAGGGACAATTCCATCAAGGGGCACTAAGCAGAGGAGTCAAACTTATGAAGTGACCACAGAATTTACCATCCAAACAAGCACACTGAAAGAAAACTGGGATTTTCCTAGCCCTACAGGAATGTCTGGTCACCCGACATATGAAGCTTCACTGAACCAGGCACCATTCTGAGGGTGGCATGCGGAATGGGGAGGAGTGATGAGGGGTGGCTAGCAACTGCGAGTCCAGGAGAGAATTGGTGAGCGTGGCAGGGCTATATGTGTGGTTTGTGTCACATGTTGAGCTGAAGGGCTTGGATATTTGGGGTTGTGATGAGGACGATGGAAAGGAAGAAATGTAGCTTTGTCTTGGTCTCCTGACCAATGAGTGATCGGAGGGGCTGGTGAAGAAGGAGCAGCTTTGGGAGCTGAGAATATGGTGATGAGCTGTTTAGCTCAGAGCAATGGGATCCCACGAACTATTTCAAGTGTGTGCCTGCAAATGTGTATTTGAGGAAGAACTTGAGGGATGAGATCTGCTTCTTATGTAATAACTCAGTGAACACTCATATGTGTAGGGTGACCGGACATCCCAGCAGGGCTGGGACAATCCCAGTTTCCACTTGCTGCAGTGTCCTCATTCGCAATTGCTATCTGGACCAATCTTTGCCGTTTTCTGTACTAATGACACACGCATACAGTTGCACTGCAATCACTGCAATCATTTCAATACACTGACTATCGCCTTCCTCTGCAAACGCACCCTCTGCACTTCTCTACCACGTTAGGCATCCGAAATGTCTGACCTGCATGACTGTGTCTGTGTGTCCTCTCGTCCCCGGATGCTGTTGGGATTTGGCTAATGGGCAGCACTGGCAGAGACTGGGAAGGAGAGGAGTGAGGGCAAGGTTTCTGTGCTGCCCCTGCTGGACTCCTGGTGCCAGGCGACCTTCCTCTACTGTCGCCAAAGGGGTCAGGCAGCCCACTGTACATGCAGCCAAACGCCTGCCACTCTACCTACAGTTTCAGTCCTTAGGGGAGACGCTGTCCCAGTGTCCCTCGCTCTTGGGTCAACCCTTTCTCTTGGTGATCTCTTTGCAACCCACCCATACCTTTGAAAACAGTCTCCTTATTACAAACTCTTTATGTGACCCAGATTCAGATATTCAGCGTGCCCTCTGTTTCTGACTACAACCCTGACTAATATCGTAATTCCAGGGGGAAAATGTGTTCCCAGCCTGGGGCAAATCAACCAGGGAAACCTGTGAAACTGAAATCAAAGGGAAAAATAAAGTGTGAGAAGCCTATTTATTGCTTAAAGGAAGTCATCTACTTTTGCTTGCCAGTGTCTCTCCCCTTAGGGGCTGGAAGACCTCAACACCTCTCCAGGCCAGGTGCCTGCTCAGTCTCCCCCTGCCCCTGTAGGCACCTACTGGTGTGGAGGTGGGCTGTTCTCTCCACCCTTGGAGACACCTGTTGATATGGAGATGGATTAAGGCCAAGTGAGAGATTCTGGAAATGCTGCAGTTTTACCCATTTACAGTGGTTTCAAATACACAACACAGTGGTTCAATGGTTCTTCATATTACTAAATCCTCGCCCCTCTAGCGAGGTTACTATCTGTCACCTAAGCTGAATATAGTGATTTCTAGTGGAGAAAGATGTACCATCCCGGGGGAGGACTCCAGTCAGCTGACTCCCAC